TCAAGTGGTTTTATTTTCCTAGAATTACATTTTACAGTTGTCCTAGGCTTGATATTTTAGCTAAGAGAAGCTGCAAATACTAAGTACTTCTGAAAGTCTGGAATTAAACATTTAGGTTAGAAAATACTATCTTAATTTTTTTATCAGGCAGATCCAGGCTTCAACTTTTCATCCAACAGGATTGAACATAACATATGTGCCTCCTCTCAGAGAAACAATACAGGGTTTGCTTTTATGTCCATTGGAATATATGGAAGGCAACTGCCAAAGCCAATCAGTCTGGTAACTGAATAGAACATTGTTAATTCAACATTAATGAATATCACAGAGGGCAGATCTTATTAGATCCCAAGCATCTCATTTTTAGCCCTTGAACTGCAATTGTCAAAGTTGTCCCAGAACTTTCTCCTCTCAGATCAGAACAATTCTAATTTACAGTTTATATTTATTCATAGACAGATTGTAGCAATCCATTTTAGACAAAAATTTTGGCAAGCTGAATCCGCTTTTTATTCACTAGTTTGCAGTGAACTCACTAGCTGAACAGTGAACACAGGCCTTCCTAGTTTTCAGCATAATTGCTTCAATGACTGCAGGGTAGTTGCAGTCTTAGACTTCTTTCTCGGTATAGGATTTCATTTTACAGATTATTCTTCCAGGAGATTAAGTAAGTAAATACTAACCCCTTAGTTTAAAAAGTGCATTTACCAAAGGACCTGTAACAATTAGCAATAAAATAGCTATGACAAAATATTTATACATATTGCAGAATGATATTTACTCTCAGGTGTCTCCATAGCTAAAGTAAATAAAGAGAATTATTTAATACTGACAAAATTATTCAAGTATGTTAACTACAAGTAAGTATGAGGATGAGTATTATAAGTACTATTAGAGTAACATAATACGTAAGTTTTATGAAGAAGAACATTCTGTTGTTGCCATTTATTGAAAATATAAAAACTGGACTTGTTACATCAAATGGTCTGTCTTCACATAAAAATTTAATGCACTGGGCAAGAGTAAATTACTATGCAGAATTGGTAGCTTGGGTGAAATTTCCCTCTTTGAGCTTTTAATGCAAGATATCGATGCTTATCTTCAAAATAGAACCAGCATGTACTTACTCTTTGAAAGAAAAACACACATTTAACATAAGTTCAAGTAATCTTTTCCTCATTACATCATTTATTTTTACTTTCGATGCTAGAAACACAGCTATAAACCTGCTGGAGTTCAGCTTAGACAGAGAGTTAGACAGACAGTGGTGTTTCAGTTTTGCCGATTCTTTCAAAGCAGAATTTTTCATTTAAGCACTTCTACTGCAGATCCCTGTTATGATGCCTGCCAGCCTGGTTGTAACCCACAGGCAGACCTGGCTCTTCCACAGGCACCTCTTCATGTCTGACTGACCAGCCGGGGCTGTGCTAGCATGGCTTTTAGCACACCAGGGGACAAGGAGACTTGGTGCGGCACCAGTTACAGAACAATTTGGTGAGCAATAGCATCCTCACGTATTATCATTGTTTTGTCGCACGGGAAGAGAAAATCCATGCTTTTCTAGCTCATCTGTCATACAGGGGGATACTTTAAGAAGCAGATTATTAAAAGCTTGGAGTCATGAGACAACAATTTTTGGTCACCCACAGGTTCTATGTGTAATTTCATCTCCTGTAGCAAAGATCCAAGATGAAAAACAGGGTTCGGTGTTTCCAAAATAAAGTTAATACCTGCAGGTTTTATATTTTGGTACTTAATGCAGTTAATTCAGATTCATCATCGCTTCTCCACATCCTGATTCCTGGTTTCCTGAAAAGTGCTTTCCTTCCAACAGTATTTTTCTTTCTTTTTTTTTTCTCTTTACTAAATACATAAAGACCAAAAGGCAGTATACACACATGATACAGCAGAGCTTCTGAAATGTTACCACATGTACTCTGCCACTATCCAATTCCATTATCATTGACAGCATGTTGCTTCAAGAAAGTCATATATGAAGACATCAGCTGTTTATCTGAAACTGAACGGGAGTTGAAAAACACTTTTTAACATTATTATCAAAATGCTTGTTCCCTAGGCCTACATAGGACTTCAATGACATAAAAAACTAGAGATACAGCAGATTTTTCACATGACTGCTTTCAGACAGTCACCAAGAAGCATGTTTGCACCTCTCACAGTTTGACCAGAATAAAAATAAAGCTAAAATGAATTGCATTTTGAAGGAAGAATACTAACAATTCGGTTATATTTTTTTTTCCTCAGAAATGTGTAACAATGGCCATGAGGATGTATCCAGCAGTCTGATGCTCAAGAGCTGAGAAAAATAAATTTGAGGAAGAGAAAAAATGAAAACTGTTAATGAACTGATTTTAAAATACACAGAGGTAACTACTCTGCCTTTAAGTTTTTGCAAAAGATAAGAGAAAAGCGACAAGTTTGTCTTGAAATGCTGGAGGTCCTGTCTCAAATTGTCCTGTGCCAGTTTGTATTTAGTTTACTCCTGCTAGGCAACAAGTCCCAAGTTCTCCACTCCATCCTCTAGTACAGGCTTTGGTTAATATTGGTATTGGCTTTCAAAAGCAGAGCCAGCTCTAAAGCTCTGGTGTTGGCATCTTCACATTATCAATCTCACTGGAGTTAAGAAGTGCCACATCTAGTGTGCACTGCTTGGCACACTGGCTCAGTACGATGTACTTTTCATCACAGGCTTTAGCAAATCTGTAAAATGATCAGATGCCTGCACACCGTGCTAAAATGCTCAGGGTGAACTTCCTCTTTCTGAGGGCTGACTGAAAGGTTTTCCAGGTTGCATCTCCAGCTGTGCAGCTGCTTTTAGATCTCAGAAGCTTAACTGCACTCGTCCAGCAAACTGATGAATGAGGCTGTTTTATCCACACTATAAGGAACACAAACCCAGGCACAGTTTCACTTACTTCCTTGCTTTCATTTTTATCTTCACAAAGCAAACAGATAAATGAAGTAATGGAGCCAGGACTGAGATGGCTGGCTCCAAGTACAAATAAATCAGTACTCCTGTTTTAAGGGTCCTGAGCTGCAACAAAACTTAAAAATGCTTGGCAAGCAGAAGCTGGGGACTGAGGATGAAGCCTGACTGAAAAGGAAGAGGGAAGAGAGGAATCTATAAGCTTTTTCCAGGTATTCTGAACTGCTACATGTTGATGCTGCTTCACTCATTCAGTGGAGTGGTACCAAGTTAGAGCAGGACAGGACCTGGTGCTACTGTTTAGTTTAAACATGGAAAAAAGAGGACTTGAATTGCCTCTTATTGGAAAACATGGTTTTTTCTGTGGGGAGACACAGCAATTGTTTAACAGCTTGCACTCTTTAGCAAGTCTTGTCAGACAATTTAAAAAAGCCCCAACACTCCATCCAAATAAAATCAAAGAGGAGTTTTAGATAGCAATATGGAGTAATTTGCAGTGGAAGCTGGCAAGGGTCCTGCGGCTAAACCTTCTTTTTACAAAAAGCCCAGGGAATGTTTCTGGCATGCTTGAACCCTGTTTTGTAAAAGGGCTCACCCCAAAATGTAAAGAATTCTTTCCAAACTTAAATATATACTCACCAATTATTCTTTCTTTCTTTCCAATTATTTCCTGGAGGGGGAAAGGAAAAAAAGCATATAGTTTTTTATGCTCTGATTTACACCACGCTTTGTTATAATTAATACATATGTAGGTTCTGATTTGCCAAATTTAAGCTGTGTGACTACCTGTTCGAGTAACTTCTCTCTTGGGATAAACATAAAAGAGGTTTTTTCTGGGTACCGGTGACTGAAAAGCTCTCAGAATGTATTTGTTTTCCTTTTGTAAAGAGCAGCTTTGTTTATGAGTCAGGGCTAAACTATTCAGGAAGTAAGAAAACACTACTTCAGGGCATGGGCTTGCAATACACTAGACCTAACCTTGATTTTACTGGGCATAATGACATAATAACAAAGTGTAACATGACATGCTTGAGTATTGGAGGTGTTGTGTCAAGACCCTTGGATGCTCAAAATCTCAAATTATCATTGCACTATGGCTCTCCAAGTTGTACCGTTTCATTTTTAACCTCCAGTAGACTCAATTCAAAGGCTAAGAGGTCTGCCAGATTGTCTTGTCGCCCTTGGGATACAGTGAACTCCTGTTTGAGAAACAATGTCCTTTTGAGCTTCACTTTCACCACATAAAAATCCAGATAAACCCTAATGTTTTTCTCTTTAACAGATTTTTATATTTTATATCCTCAGAGGAATTCTCTGATACGTAAAAAGTGAAAGAATGATAACTCATAAATCCAGCACATACACGCAGGCCTACATATGAGCTTGCTTTAAAGATATAATTCAGACTTTCTATATATGTAAGTCTTTTTCTCCATAAGGATTTAGTAGATACAGCTATATGCAAAAATTTGAAATAAAGCAATCTGAAATGGGAACATCAGCACCTTAAATCAACTCTTTAGGCTGATTTAATAGTTCTTTCTAAGATATCAGACTTCAGTATAAGCCAAAGAAAAAGCTCTGTCCTCAATTTAATGGTCCGTTGGGTTAGTGGTGCCAAGTCATATCTATTCTGTAGTCCCTGGAAGCTGGTGATGTGTGTGGCACCATAGTTGGCTGCTTCTATTTTTTCAAGTGAAAAATCAAGGCTTGGTTTGGTGGCCTGGGAGTGGACTTCAGCGCAAGGCTTGAAAGCACACCTCTGGAGTCATAATAAGTTACTGTTCTTGATCTTTCTCTTCATCCTCATGTTAGAGCATGTTAGGTCTATCTTCCTCTTCTGCTAACAAATAGGTGTTACAACATTCATTGCACACTACGAAAAGGCAGTTTTTCAAAGTAAACAGAAAGTTTCTATAAATAAAAATCAGTAACAAGAAAATCCTCCATCAATAACTTCAGATCATGCCTTCTATCTTTTGACATGGAAAAAACAGAAAGAATCTCTCCTTCCTCTTCTTAACATAAAATGTCTATTGTTGGAGCAACTTACCAAAACTTTGTTGTTTTGAAAAATGTTTCAAGACTGAAGAAGGATAACACGGCAGCATCTTGGGACAAAAGAACTGTGAAATTTAAATGCAAAGTCCTGTAACTAATTGAAGGTCACATTCTGGCCCCATGTGCCCACACATGGCTCTTATTAGCATGAATAAGAGCCATGGATGTACATCTAAGGATGGATTTCAGTCCTCAGATGTGACTTAGTAAAATATTATGTGTTGAATATAAAGAAAATCTGTACTTACAAACTAAAATTATCAGCAACAAAGTGGCAGACAATCTTCCCATAAAATATCTGAGAACATAACAATACTCATAAAGGTTAGCAAAAAACAAGGGATGCATATTGGGGTATTAGAGATGAAGCCTGAGTGAGAGGAGAAAGTTCTTGCAGATGAACCCTCTGAACTCTGGTGGGTGAACTGCAATTTGAAACTTTAAATTACTTAGGCTATCGAGGATAATCTCCCAGAAATAATGTCCTCAGCATTCCCAGGCTTCTTCTCAGCCTTTCAAAACCCCCTGCCCAAACACACTTGACAGTTTTAATATCTGAGTACGTGTTTCTTATTTTCATTCACATCCATATAGCTCAGATATTTGTCTGCATCATCTGTCATGTGAAAATATATTTTCACAGTAAGATATATCTAATTTTGAAAATGTGACCCTTAAGTTATCTTTTATTCACCAGTTGAAATGCGAGTAAGCACAAAAAATAAAAGAAATAAAAATTACCTTGTACATATTGAAATGATAAAACACATGATCAGTGCAACCACTTGAGAAAAGACATTTCTCACTGTCCTGGATTCTAAAACAAAAATCAGGAAAATAGTTTTTGTGAGTTGTCAGGAAAGTAAACATATGAGAGAAGGAGGTGTTTGCAAAGACTACCTTCAGCCTGTGAGGCAAGTCTCTTCAGTTTCTTTTTAAGCGCATTCGCCTAGAGTGATTCAAAGCGGAGAGCTAATTTTCATGCTCTGGGTGTCTCTCAGGAGCTTTTTCCCCCACAACCATAGAGACACTGTGCCCTCCATGCTCTCAGAAAACAAGTCTTTCTGAATAATTGTCTGTTTCAGATTTTGTTCCCATGCCCTTTCCTCCATTTTTTTCTTTTTCTATTTATCACTGAAAATAGGAGAGGAAAAGATGTGTGCAGGGAGGAGTGAACAAGTAAATACCAATTTTAGGATTTCATTCTTTTTTATCAATCATGTAAAATGCATGTTTCAGGACATAAATTCTGTTGTGCAAGGGGTCGTAGCAACATTTTGAACGGGGATTATTTCAGTTCACTCTAAAAATGAGGAATATCAGAATAAGAATGTAACATACTTGCATTGCTCAAAGTGTCTTCATTTGCATTTATCGTAAATGGAGAGTAGGACTGCGAAGCACAAAATGGTTTCCCAGGCTGAAGAAGTCCCTCATCTTTGATGGAAGAAGATCCATAAGAGGCTGGAGTTTGCCTTTGTGGCACATGGCTATTATATCCAGATGAAAAGTCTACATCATCTACAAAAAGTGCAGATGTAGTTGAGATTGCACGGAAGACCTTTAAGACTTTGCGTTAATGAATTTTGTGGGGGAAAAAAGTTAATCACAGAGAGGTTTGCAAACTGTTAGGGGTAGGGAATTGGCAGGTTCAAAGTACGCAGGAGAAAATATGCAGAGTATAGGCAAAGCTGTGTAGACCACAACACAACGAAGTTATTAAAAAGCCAGGTGAAAGCAGACACTGCCAGGTACTAATGACACCAGCATAAATATCTCTGCTGATGACTTTGGATTCCAATTCAGTCTAAAAATGCCTTTTTGGCACAAAAGTCTTTATGGACTCATACTCTATTTTAACGCTGGGAGCTCAATTCACCACTTACAATTCTGTTGTTCATCTAGTCTTTACCTGCACATCTTGGCACACACACCCTGCAAGCCACATAGAAAGAGATACCAAGGCCCCACTAAATATAGACTGTAGTGTTGTAGCTTGATTCCTTGGTACCTGGTCAGGGCTTACCAATATCACTCTGACCGGCTTCTAGTTTACTGCATCCATCAGGCCAAGGATCATCTGCATAGGAGGAATCCATATTGCTGAGAGCGGTGCTGCTCAGCCATGAACTGGAGGCACTGAGGTTGAACAAGCTGGCAAGAGAGCGACGGATTTTCTTCCTTCGCCTGAATACACTGGGAAGAAAAGGCACATTGTCAAGGAAAAGAGTTAATTAGTCTTTCTGAGAAGGGACAGACCACTAAAGCTTGCAGGACTGACATGAAAGAAGCAGGTTCTGGGTCCTAGATCTGTCATCTGATGTATGTCACCAAAACCAACTTTGCACACTGCAATACTGTCAGGAAATACATTAGCAGCATGGCAATATGTCATGCTACTGTGATACTGGATACCGTGATACCAAGTCAGCACTGGGCTCTGATACTGCTCTGAGTGGTCTTATGCTACCCATGAGTTTCACCCTACCGTCTCCCATTTGGTGCAGCCTGAATCCCCTGTACTTCAACTTTTTTGAACTACATTTTATACACCTTCCTAAACTAATGTTCTTCTGAAATCCAGAGAGACTTTTCCCTGCATAAGAATCCTAGGACCAGAGCTTTTTATTTATATATATATACAAACACACACACTTTTTCATTATTCCTTATCATGGTAACACCTCAGTGGCAAAATAAGCTGTAGTAGCTCTTCTTTTTTATTTATTGGACACAACTCCAATTACAGCAACAGCTGTGTACTGAAGAGTTTTTTGCATAGTAAGATTAGACATGACTGAAAATGAAGTTATTTCAATCCCTGCACTCTCTAAACTAAATCGAGATGTTCCCATTAAGAAGCAATGCTGATCTTATGCCAAGCCAAGTGCAGCCAGTCACAGCGATACCACCTGGTAAGTCCAGAGATGTGGAGCCTTTGCCAACATTAAGTAATATCTGCACATAATTCACTTACCGAACTAAATTCTCTTTATATGTAACACTTGTCTGGGATGGTGTCAGTGTTATGTTGCCTTCTTCATCGGACAGAAAACTGTCTTCTGTCAAAACGTAATAACCATTAGAAAGCAGTCGAGGGCTGCGGCGACATGCGGAAAGGGAGCCCATCAGGGGATTTAAGGAACAACACTCGTAGGCAGGATCATTGTCCAAAAAGGCACAAGCACAACTGAAAAGAAGGAATGAAACTCTGTAATTTAGTGAATGTGTAGACAGAGCAAACCCATGATTTAAAAGTAATGAATTTACATTACCAGCTGATGGGGGCTGGTAATGACATAGGTTTAAAATACGTGGATATAATGATATTACTTCTGGACCTGAGGGGTTTCAGCCAGCTAAAGTGACTTCACCACACTTTCCTGAGCTTCAGTTACAGGAGGGCTTCACGCCAGGTGGAGCATTCCACGAATACATGGAGCCAGCCTGAACTGAGGAGTGCCTGGTGTATTTGTGTGGCAGTGCTCTTGGCCTGGGAGTCTTGCCAGATCTACACCTACCTGGAGCCATCAGAGTACTTTGCTTCTCCAAGTTACTCTGCACGGTGCAAGTCTGAGTGTCTCGGAACCAGACAAGATTTATTTGCTTTTTATAACCTAACCACACTTAACAAAGATTTAAGGATATATGACTTGTAATTCTCACAACTCCTAGAATACCACCCAGCTAGAACAACATGGGATGAAGTCTACACATGTTGATAACTTCATCCATCACTGAAATACAATTGACTTTAAGGTGAAATACAGCACAGAAAAACATACTACGTGTTTTTTAAAATAGAAGTGAGTAGTGTCAGAGGTGAAAGAATCTAAATCTTGTAGACATTTTACTTAGCTCAAGAAAATTTGCTTTATGGTTAGCCTTTTCTCCTTAGCACCCCTGGGTTTCAAGTGGCCATGCAGTGACATCCATGGAAAGAAAGGAAGACACTAGACTGATTTAGTGGCTGACATGGGTTTCAGTAGCAGGTTTAGCTATCCCATATGGCATGTTTCCTAATTTCAGTGGAGGGAAAAGCAGGTGGAACAGAGATACTCTGTTTAGGGGTGACCTTGTAGTGTAGGGTCAATGGTTGGACTTGATGATCCCAAGGGTCTTTTCCAACCTGAATTGTTCTATGATTCTATGATAACCTCATAACTGAAAAGCCAGTGCTTCCAATCTTCACAGCAGTACTTCTGAACTTTCATTTAAAGCAGTAATTAAATTAATATCAGCGCTACAATTCTACATGGTCCAAAAGAGATTTTACAAAGTTTCCAACAAAATAAAAATAAAATTAAACAAGTGTAATTTTCCTCAGTACCTTGGAAAAATATGTTGTGAGAGGTTGTGTCTATGTTCTCCGTTAAACGCGGCTGAACCTGCAGAGGCAAAGGCCAAATAAGAAGGAATTGTTATCACTTCCACTAACAGCTCAAACAGTTGAGAGGTCTTCACTGACAGGTACCTTGTGCATATCAAAAAGATCATAAAAGAGGTTAAAACAAAGAAAAGGAAATTAAGGGAGAGATTGAAACAGATGAAAGAATGGGAGAAAGACATAGTGCCTGTAGGAAAATCAACTAGGACAACACAGAATCAAAGCCATCCATAATCAGATACTTGTACTTTGCACAGCTTACAACTTTGAGAGAGATAATTTTGGACACAAATGCGATAGCTGCAGTTATTTTAACTCCAAAAATCTACTTCACGTCAAAAATAGTACCTGTACTGGCAATAGATGCAGAATAGAATGGAAGGGCCACCATTAGCATTACAATATATTTTTCAGATAAAAATTGCAGACATAGCACAACAAGCATAGGGATAGTGACAGTGACAAAGAATTGACAATAATATTGTGGCAGGAGAATAAAGAAATAAGATTTGTCTGGATTACTGTAGTTCAAGTCCACAAAGTGCTGCCAGGTGTTTAGCATCTGACAGAATCAATCTCACAAAATATGAGCAATGGGTCTCCCTAGGGAGAATTATGCCTGTTATGACATGGAAAGATATGATCTTTCCCTGCATTACCTTGCCTCTCCTGTAACTTTAGAGCATCATACTTAAAACACTTAGTAAATGGCCATCATTCAGAGATGAGAGGAGATGAGTCTAAGAGAATTTTTTTTTTTGTTCAGTTATGAGCTGAGTCAAAGGAAAGACATGAAGGTCTGTGTTTCTACTTTGGTAATCTTGTTTATCCTCATTTGGAGCTCAGTTGTCAATCAAGGCCTGGATAGAAATGCTGACTGAGCCTTGGGACCAGGCAGGGTCACCAAGGAAGGCAAGTAAAACCTTCCAGAGTATTTTTCACAAATCAGTCCTATTAGTTTACACCCATACATACTGTTTCTTCTACACTTTGAAAAGAAATACAATGCAACATTTGACTTTACCATGAGAAAATTATCCTCTAACCCTGGCATTAAAAACTTGAGGAGAAGACAACTGGAAGAAATTTGTTGGAGGTATAAAGAGATCAAGCAGTGTCGCTTAGAATGACACACAGCAAGTTGTATAAATAGTGAGAGTGGTGGTGTGTGTGGACTGACATGTTGTAGATCTATTTCTTCGTATACAATTAGCTTATATAATTTCTCATCTGTTGGGCAGAATTGCTATTTTTAATTGTGCAAAAATATTATAGTAAAAACCAGGAAATTAACCTAAATTCTAAAAGAAAATACAAGAACTCATCAGATGGTTCATAGGTCTGGATATAAACTAAAACCTGCAAAATCCCAAACCTTATCAATCAAGCAACATTCCCTCCACAACAGATTTTTTTAATCAAAAGCTCAGAAGAATGTGCACAAATTCACTTCCTCCCGGTGTCGATGCAAGATATGATATTCCATACATACAAGATTGTTTCATACACCTTAGAATAACAGGCTGTAACAGAAGCATTTTGTCTTGCTTGAAAATCAGGATGTGTAGGATATTATCGTCAATATATATATCATATTATTATTTATAGGATATTCTCACATAGACAAAAATGATTGATTCTAGCACAGATTTGTTTGAAAAGGGACGCAGATGAATACCTCACCATCAGTTATATCTACTACAACTCTTTGATAATCTGAGAGTGAAACTTTCCAACAACTGAAGCCCATCACACAGTTGTACGGCACGTGATTTTTTCAGTTCTGATATACAAAGTAGCAACCACAAAAAAAGTATAACTTTTAAGAATAGTAGCTTATATATGGGTAGTGCTTTCATTAGAAAGAGTTGACACACACAGATCAAAGTGACAGAACAAGCCACAGTCCTTCCATTACTAACTTGAATTGTCTTGTAAATTTGCAAGGTATGTCTCTGCAGGATGCATGTTTATCTGCCACTCTCCAGAGAAGTAAAATTTAAGACAAAACAGAGAATATACATATATTTATAACAGAAATGGAGACCTATACATGGGCAAATATATGGGGAGGAGATGACCTTCTCTTCACAAACAGTTAATAAGCAGTTCTAATTTGCTTTCAAGTAATTATAATATTGAGCTTCTGTAAACAAAGAACAGGTAGCCTAACGGACTTTTTTGCTACCCTTGACCATGAAAATTTTTATCACATGAGTTAATGAGGAGGCTTCCTGAAAACCATCATTCAATCAACTCTGGAGAAAGCATGGAAACATCATGTTGTAGACAATGCTGCCCAGTGCTCTGCGTTCATTTAATATTCAGTCCCATTTCTGGGTTATTAATAGAAGGAGGAGCTATAGCAACAATAGAAGCAAGCCAAAACAAAGCATCTCAGCCACCACTGTGCAATGAAGCAGTGTTACATCTGTAATGCGTAAAATGAGAATCAGTACAGAACCTTTAAAGACATAAGAAAATGCAAACAACTTTAAGAAATCTCACTAAAAGTGAGTCTGAGGTGAATGTGGCAATATGTTATGTCAAGAATTCAAACCAAAGTTTAAGGTAACAACCCCCTTGAATTTCAAAACACCCAAAAGCCTATGTCGTAATTAAAAAAAGAAAAGTCACTGTCCAAAACAGTCGGCTTTATTCACGTTTTTCCTCCAAAAGTCAAATTAATCTTTAATCCAATGATGCCCTCAATTGGTAGCCAGCAATCTCCTGTCCATGTTTACATTCTAAATACTTACATTAGTATGTACCAAAACATAGTGCTAACTATTAAACTAGCTAAAGCCCAGACAACTAGCTCTATACTATCGTACCTACCAAAACCAAGTGTCTACAAAGATGGTTTTATTTGTTCACACCTATCAGTCATTTCTGAAGAGCAGTCTAGTCTTTTCTCCCTGCAGGTTATTATAACAACATTCACAAAAATACAGAACTTTCTGAAGAGCAGTAGAGAAATTAATTCAAAGCTCAGTTATTGCTCAGCTGAGAAATATATTAAGAGAGAAATATGTGTAAAATCTTCCAAACCTGCAAAATCCATTTCACTATCAACACATGTATGCAAAAAAGTTTCTCATCATCAACACGGGAGCCTCTGGGACGTGGAGGGTGTTCCTTCTGCAGCTTCCTGGAAGAGATGAGCCCTGGGTCTTCGGAAAGGCAGGTCTAGGAAGTCCCCTGTTTCCTTTTGAAACCAGCCCGTGCAATCAGCAGCACGGAGGCAGAATGAGGTCATGCTTCCTGTAAAACTGCCTCACATCAGAAGCGTTCATTCTGAAGAGCAAACCGAAGATTAAGATTAGCCCAGTGAATGCTCTGGCAGGCTGCTGCAAAAGAGAAGATAGACAATAAATAACGTTTTGCTCCAATTATGACATTGATAACAAAGATAAAACCTTTTCTCATAAAGTGACACAGATTTTTGTTTCAGTGTCACTTTTCTACTCCACTCAGAAAACTTTAAAGTGGTATATCCAAATTACTCTATTTCCTGAAATACTTGTGAGCTTTGCAGGCTTTGATGTAGGACAAACATCCATGTATAGTAACAAGATATTTTGCACAAGAACTATTTTACTGAAGATGCATTTGATGTGAGTTCAGAATTGCTTAAGTTTCATGGCCAAAAATATTATTGCAAATACATACCATACAATGTTAAGATGAATCCTTTTGAAAGGAGAAAGGAATAAAGCCATTTGTAAACATATTCATTGTTCCACTCCATACGTCTCATACTGTGTAAGGCAGCAATACATCATGCCTTAAAGTATACAAAAACAAATCCATGTAAAAGAAATGAAGCCTGAATAAGATGTCCTGGCAATCAAAATGATTTTGCTGTAGAACTGTTACACACAAAAGTAATATAAATCAGCTGCTTGACACTGAAGAATTATAAAACCTTAGGGAGCAAAACTTCCATCTCCAGACAAATAGATAAAATATGCTAGTAGGCATCTCTCCTAATGTCTATATGCATCGACAAAAAGAAAAGATAAATCTAGTACAATATGATTGATTTGATTTAATGATAGTGTTTTGTTTGGGTTTTTTTTCCCTGGAGAAGGAAAAATACTACTGGTAATAAAGGAATGTGAGGCAACACAAATAGGAATTAGGCAATTAGTATCTTGCAAAAGAGCTTCTGTTTGGGAGCTAAACTATAACGAGTATTTTAAGGTCCTTTTGTTCAAATGTGAAAACATAGGGTCACATTCGTTCTTCACATCACTTCTTTTAATTTAGTGGAATTATGCCAATGAGGAAATTTAGTCCAACACTATTGCCATGGATGCATGGGCTTCATCACAGTAGAATTTCTCAGGCAACCCTTTCTCTATAGGCAATGGACATAAATCCCAATGGTCTTTAAAACTAGGCAACTTACTGAAGAACTTCTATAAGTATATTAATTTATAGCACAGTTACATCTTGGGAGTAATTTTTGTTTCTCTTCATGTTCTTTTCAACAGGAAGCAGCTAATTCTAAGCACTGGATGATTTTTTTTAAGTACATTGGCCTTTCATGTTTGTCTATACAATTGAAGCATTGTGTCTATATCATATTTAGACTTAGAGGTGTTTTCCTGTTAAATCACTAATATTCACGTCTGAAATTCACATCTGAAATTCACTGTTCCGCAAGCTTTTGATACATAAACTTTGTGGATTTGTGAAAATCTTATAGGTAGATGCTAGTCTATAGTTTATATGCACACACAAATCACAGAATCATAGAATCATAGAATGGCCTACGCTGGAAGGGACCTTAGAGATCATTTTAATCCAATCTCCCTGTCATGGGCAGGGACGCCTTTGTTTATATAGGCACACAAATATTTACATGTTTATACATGTTTATATATGTTTATACATGTTTATACATGTTTATATATGCAGGACCTTTTATATATGTTATATATGCACAAATGTTTATATATCCACACAAAGGTTTATATCCAGCTTTTTTTTGTTGCCCTCTCTGTTGCTCCTGAAATTGCCCACCCCACCCCAAGCCCTATCTCAATTGTCATATTTCAAATTCTGGGAAAGGAACACACCAACAAGCTCGCTGTGCAGTACATGTATGTCTGTTGCGTACAAGTTCAACCCCCGAAAGGAAGGAAATGAGAAATTACAACACTAAGTACGACATACCTTTTTACTCTTCTCCCAGGCTTACTCTTCTTTTGACAACAGTACAAATAAAGGAGAAAGAATATTGCTGGTGTCTGTGCTGGGTCTGGTAGTCCAACAGAGGTGAGGCTGGGGCAGCTCTGTGCCTGAGGTCTCATCAGCATTGAGCCTGAGCATGATGTAAACCTGGTAGGCACATGCACATCGAGTATACACCATACGTACACAGAGAATCATAGAACGTGTTGGGCTGGAAGGGACCTTTAAAGGCCATCTAGTCCAACCCCCCTGCAGTGAGCAGGGACATCTTTAACTGGATCAGGTTGCTCAGAGCTCCATCAAGCCTGACCTTGAATGTCTCCAGGCATGGAGCCTCTCCAGGCAACCTGTTCCAGAGTTTCACCACCCTCATACATACACAGCTGGCAACCCAGATAACAGAGAGAGACATACAGAGCACTCAGTACTCGTGGCTTCATCCTTCTCACCTCTCTGGCTGGACAGAGTAGAGGCCCACTAGTGAGAATATACAGATACCCTCACATCTGTACAAGCTGGATGCCCCCAGCAGCTGGGCTCAGACACTCAGTCTGCCCAGTAGCCGCCCCTAAAGCTCAGTCTTCCAGGCTGCTGGTACCTAGAAATCTGAGCCCTCAGAGCCACAGCTCCACTCAGGCTGGCAGTACAGACCATCTCGCACACAGGTACTGCTGCTCAGGATTCCCCTGGTCCTCAGCAGCCCACTCCCTACAGCACCACCCTTAGAGACACCCCTGGCCATAATGCATCTCATGCCTCTAGACAGCTAATCTACTCAGTCCCGAAGATGCTCTGCTGTTAACTCATCCAGGAAGGTTTCATGCCTGGACACGGGGACTGAGAGCCCCCTGGGACAGCCCTGGGAGAGGCCCAGTCACAGTGTCCCTTCCTCGAGTCCTTAATTTGGATTCCCACCTGCCATTGTGCCCCTGTGCTCTTCCGGGCTGATGCAGAAGGGCCTTTGATGCGTTGATGGCTCCTGGGATGGGTCTGGGAACAGCTGGGAAAGGGTGTTATTTGGGGTCCCCCTTGTGCTGTTATCTCTGTGCTTCTCTATGGGTGTGCAGAAAAGCTTTTTAGCACATACTATATCATAAGAAGTCTGCCATCTCAACGACTCGCTGCAACTCAGTAACACTATTATGCTAAATACACAGTTTTGAAACCGAGTATTTTGCTGGGTAGAGTAAACTGTGTGGCCTTGGTGGAGGAAGTAGAGTGCTTACTTAATGAATGCAACTGAGAGTAGTTTGATGCTTCTATAAATCTCTTTGAACGTCCCAGACAGCTCACAGCCTTTACCTTTT